AATTATCCACTTTTTACTAGTTATAAAAAAATTAAACTTACTATTTTCATATAGTAAAAATAACATAAAAATTGTTACTTTCATGACTTTTGTAGTTTTAAAAATAAATGTTTCTTACCACCATAGAGATAAATTATTAAAAGCTAGTGAGAATTGGTTCTTTTAACTACATTAAACACAAAAATAACAAATTCCAGCGGTTGTTTTTACTCTTTAGAACAGTAAGTTCTATATACAGTAAGTTATTCCGAAAATAACTATTTTCAACAGTACTTTTAACTACTGCACTATTGTTGAGTTATTCACAATCATAACGTCTAGTAGTAATTTTAACTACATAAAACCAACTATTCAATTTTAGTTCCACTAACTATGGAAATTTAGTTAAAATGCTGCTAAATATGGTAGTTTTAACTACATTTTTTTAACTGCACATATGTGGATGTTTTTACCACTTACGTTTTTTCTCTGTAGAAAAAAATGATCTTTTCAACAGCATAAATAGTAAAAATAACTATTTTCAACAATTGACTTTACCGAGGACTTTACTATTTGAAAACAGTAAATTTCTTTCTTTCTCTGCAACTAGTAAGAAATAGTTGTTTTAACTACATAAATCATAAAAATAACAACTTTCAGAGGTTGAATTTACTATATAAAAACAGTAAGTTTCATTTTGTTTGCAACTAATACAAAATAGTTTTTTTTTACTACCACAATAGTAAAATTAACTTTTTTAACAGTAGTTTATACTACAGTATTATTGTTGAGTCACCCAATGGGAAATTTACAACTGGCGTAGTACTGCGCCAGCACTGGCAGCACTGGCGGCAAGGCTGAGAGCCAGCACTGGCATAACTCTGGGATGATAACGCCGTCTGGCGCTGCCGAAGTACTGTCTGTCAGTGCTGCCAGACAGCGCTGGCGCAGCACTGGACCAGTGCTGGCTGAGAATATTGCCGCAATAAATGCCGTATTGCTATTAATTAGTCGTAAATTAATAATTATAAATAATTTAACAACAAAATGGTAAATAATATTAATAAATAGTTATTATTCATAAAATATTTCTCTTCTTAAAGAAATTGTATTAAAGATGGAGACTAACAATGGATATAGTAAATGAAGTAGAAAAAAATTGTTTATAACATTTAAAAATTAAATAATAAACAATTACAGTAAGTGTGCATTAGATTTTCATATTTTAGTACCTAACGATTGGAATCTAGAAATATCGCAAACCTATGAAAATAAACAAAATTGCTGACGAGGGGAATCGAACCTACGACCTACGGACTAACAGACTAACGCTCTAACCACTATGCTAACGACACATGTGTACAGTGAAGTATTAATATCTCAGTATCATTCAGACATACAATTATTGAGTCAAAGATGAGAAAAAAATAGGGATACGTTAGAAATAATAAATTGAAATAAAATAAATTAAACTAAATTTTTAAAAATTAAATTAAATTACTTTACTTATTGCATTTAACATTTTACGTAATTCTTAAATTACGTGGTAATTTTTTAATAATTTTTTATTCATAGTAAGAAGTATAATAGTATTTTAATAGGAACCAAATTATTATTGAAATTAAAGTTTAAATTTTGTTTATAATTTTAATTTGTTTAAATAATTTATTATTTACAAAATTAGACAATTGTGTTAAATTGTTATTATTAAATTTAATAAGAATAAAAAATGAACAACTGAAAAGTAAAATATTAGTTTTTTTCAATAAATTTATATTTATAAACATTTATAAACTTTTTTTATAATTTTTTTCAAGTTTATGTCAAAAAAGCAATGTTGGCAAAGAGCGTCGTGAACAATTTTTCTATACTCAGCCAGCACTTGCCGCCGTGGCTTGTCCAAGCTTTGGCGAAACAAAAATTCTGTACTGCGCCAGCACTAATTGTCGAGGCTCGGCTAGACTACGCCGAACAATCGCCTGAGCACTAAGCCAGTGGTGAACATCGGCACTACACTGGCATTTCCCATTGGGCATTTACTACCATCTATTTAGTTATTTCAACTACGTGAAGTAGTAATTTTAACTACATAAAACCAACTACTTAATTTTGGTTCCACTAACTGAGGAAGTGTAGTTAAAATGCTGCTGAATATGGTAGTTTTAACTACTTTTTTTCTAACTGCACATATGTGGTTGTTTTTACCATTCGCATTTTTTTCTGTGTGGAACTCGAGAAAAAAAAATTTTAATTTAGCAGTACTAAACAATTTTTTTGGCTTAATATTTTCAAGGATTATTCTTAACCACATTAAAAGTAAAACAAATATATTTTGGTTAAAAATAAAAATTTTTTAGATTAAGGTGATCCGTTTGGGAAATTCTGACCCTTAAAAGGAAATTCAAACTAATTGAAATGATACGCTGAAAAACTTTTTGTTTCAAAAATTAATAGAATTCATTTCAAACTTTAATATGATGCATTTGAAACAGGGAAAAACGATGTTTTTATGTTTTTTAATCGTACAAACGTATCAGCTTTTAACAAAGTAATACAAAAAATTAGTATGGTCCGTGCCAATCTTTAGTATAAACCATATTAATAGTTGATACGTTAAGGTCATGTTATTTAGTGGTCACGTGCTCCATATATACTTTACTATACCCGTGCAGAAATTTTGACCGGGGCCAGGTTGAAACACTAAAACCGACCGGGGCCATGGCACTTTGCCCGATCTGGCCGCCATGTCGGGACCCGGTCGGGCCCATGGGATTTCCCCCGATCTTTTCGCTACCCAGGTAGAAATCCAATACTGACTGCATTTTTTTATATTAAAGCTCGTTATTTGATTATTAAAGCATGGGGAGTATTTACTTCAATATTAATAATTATCATTAATATTTTTGTAGTAAATAAACTTTTATGAGTGTCATTAAAAATGTAAATAATTATTAGAATTGCTTTTATTGAACTAAGTTTTTAAAAAAAATATTTTTCTTATTTTCTTTCATTAATTTAGACAGACTATCTTATTTAAATTAATAATTATTTATAATTATTATTATTGTTAATAATTATTTAAACCTATACTTTATGTAACATTATTAAGAATTATATACAAAACACTTAAAACTAAGACGGAAAAATATCGCACGCACGGGGGACCGAACCCTAGACCTCGAGGACGCAAGTCGAATACACATACCGCATAGCCACGCAAGCTTGGAACCGACCTCGCTTAAACTTCCTTTTGAATCATGGGACCGTTATATACAGTGTTATCATAATAAATTGACTGTATCATATTTATTTATAGAAAAATTATTAAAAATGTATGTTATATATATATATATGTATATATATATATATATATATATATATATATATATTTAAATTAATATGTTTATCATAATAATATGGTAAAAATTATTAATTTAATTATTTATTCTCTATTATTTATAATTTAACTTTTTTTTTAAAATAATAAAATTTTTTTTATTATTAATAATTCACAATAATACTAGAAATTATTAATTAATAATAATTTATTTTTTTGCCTTAAACATGGAATTTCAATTTAAGTGTGAAAAATAATTAAGAGTTTTTAAGAGTTATAAATGTCAAAAATAATATGTTAATATTATAACCACAAATAAATTTAACATTTTAGGCAATATTTTTGGTTATCACCATGATAACATCGACAAATGGTTCACCCTCGACAATTGGTGCGTTTGTCCTATTGTTTTAAATTAAAGGAGAATAAATTCTTAAGACATCCCTCGAGGACAATTTTTGAGTTTTTAATTGTTTATAATTTTTATTTTCAAATTTCAATCAAAGTTAACAAATTAACACAATTTTTTAAAAACGGACGTTTATTTTCTTATTCCGTTACTGCACATGCTCTAAATCAGTTCAAATTAATCCAATATTACCAGCAGACAATTAAAAACCCATAAAGTAATATATTTCAATTGTCATAAACAACATTAATTAACAAATAGTTAACTTTGATTCCTCTCCAATAAAAAATATTTTTTTCACATTTTCTTTTTAATTTTAGTTCATTTAAAGAATATTTTTCCTTTATGATTAAAAAATAACTTATTTAAATTGTTATAAACAATATTAATTAACAAATAGTTAACTTATGATCCTGTCCAACAGAAAATTTTTGTTGCAAATTTTCTTTTTTACTTCGATTAAATAATATAAAAACATCGTTTTCCCCTGTTTGACATAATCATGTTAAATTTTGAAACACAAAGTCTTTCCGTGTATTTTTTGTTATTTACGTTTTTAAAAAAAGAAAATTCTCAATTAAATTATTATTTACTAGTAAATTCCCCCTCGGTCTCAAGTTTGCTGCAAAGAAAATTAAATAAAAATTAATTAAATTAAATTAATTAATTAATTAAATTTACATGAGAAACTAAACAAAAAATTCAATTAATTTTAAATAAAAAATTAAATTAAACAACATATAATTAAGTAAAACGGACATGCTAAATGTAAAGGAAAAAGCAACGAAGTCTACGTGACGATAGAATGGGGCCATTCAAGTATTATGTAAGCATATTTTTCAGGTTTTTAGACCCCCCTCCCCCATGTAAGATTTTTTATATGCATTAGCGCCATTTTTTCTAATGGAAATAAGCAATAGCTAGACCCCCCCCTCCCCCTAAAATGCTTACGTAATACTTGAATGGTCCCTATGTCATGTGCCTCTACAATAATTAAAAATCTCACATTGTTTGACTTCAAAGGAACTATGTAATCAAATTACACAATATACAGTTACAATAATATGAAAATAAAAAGATATCAATCAAACCACATTACTTTTTAATGTGTTTTTCGTTTTTACTTATCTTTGTTTAACTTTAAAGTAAATTACTTAATAAATTAATAGCTCAGAATAAAAATTAAAGATAATATTTAATTACTCTTGCATAGATTTCGTGTTTATAAAAGGTATTGAAATAAATAGTTTGAATAGTTTTCGTTGTTAGATTTTGTCAAGTAACAACGAAAATATAAATATATTGCACTAAAATAATTGTAACTATCTATACTTAATTTTATATATTTCAAACAATTGTTTTAAGTTATTAAAATGCTCCACGGTGAACAGGAAAATTTTAACGGGTAAGATATTTATTTGAATTGAGGAAAATAAAAATTAAGTTTCTGAAAATTTCTTTTAACTAATTTATTTTTTACCAGTATTAAGAAATAAATTTATATCGAGATTCATATTATTACAATACACGGAAAGAAAAAGTCCGTCAATCATTAATAGACTAGTATATTACTTTGAGACGGGACACAAAATCATTGAATGGATAACATACTTTGAGTCACAATCAGTGACGAGTTGCTTGCTAAAATTTAGAAAACTGTCATCAATATATAAAACTCGTTCACTAAAATTTAGAAAACTGCCCGAGTCGAACTTTTAGACCTGCTTACCTCCTGGTAAGTATAATTTAACCCTAACCTGCACCTAACAAACCCTTGGTGTTTTTTTCCTCCTGCGTAAGTTCTATTTAACTCTGACAACTCCTTTTTAAGTCCTAATTGAACCTTAAACCCTGTATTGCTTCTACCACATTCTTACGCAATAGGAAATGTTACGCGCGGTACAAGATATTCAACTTATTATTGTTTTGCAAATTACAAAATTTTTTATTTTCTCTCTAAATCTGAATATGTGAAATTTCACTTATTGTACGTTATAAGTCGTCTTCTCGATCAATAAGTGCATATACACTTATAAATAAGTGAAAAATTCACTTATTCTGAGTGAAATTTCACTTATTATAAGTGTATATTCACTTATTGATCGAGAAGACGACTTATAACGTACAAATATGTGAATTTTCACATATTCAGATTTAGAGAGTAGATGAATTCAAATATTTGAAAATATTTTCATAAATTGCAATTATTTTCTTAAACTTTAATAAATTCTTCGAAATAATTCAACTATTTTTATAAATACTAAAACTCTTTGCAAGAATTAAATAATTATTAACCCAATTAAAATAAAATTAAACGAAAGAATTTAATTATTTTCAAAAATTCCCATAAAATTTAGTTTCAACAAGAATTTAAAATTCTTGAAAAACAATTTAATTATTCTCAAAATATTTTTAAAAAATTCTATATAAGAATTAAATTACTAGCTCAATACAATTTTTGAATATATTCGTCAAAAGAATTGAAATAATTCTATTATTTTCGAAAAGTAATTAAAATTCTTATGATGAATTCAATTATATTGAATATACTTAATTTTATAATAAAATTCTTTAAAGAAATTCAATTATTTTCGAAACAACTTTAATTGAATTTTTCGAAAAAATTTCATGATTTTTAAATATTTCTATAAAATTCTTCATAAACAATTTAATTATTTCTTAAAATTTTAATAAATTCTTCGCAAGAAATCACTTATTTTCAATACAATTTTAATAAAATTCTTCTTCATAAAATTCAATTGCTTTCGAAATTTTCAATTAAAATTATTAAAGAAACTCCATTAGTTTAAAAAAAAATTCAAAGAAATTTTTCAAAAAAATTTAATTAGGATTTTTAAAAATATTAATAAAATTCTTTGCGAGAATTTAGTTATTTTTCTAAATAAAGAAATTCTTTGAAGGAATATTCTATTATTATCAAATTTTTTGATAAAATTCTTTGCAACAATTCGAAGATTTTCAATACATTAATTTTAAAATTGAAAATATTTGAAAAGAAAAATTAAAAAAAGATTAAGAAACCAAAATGTAAACAACAATTAACTTCAAACTGCGAATAGGTTACCGAAACATGTATTTTTTTATTATTAATTTATAAATATTATTTTTAACTGAAATGTTTTGACATTTTTTTTAAATAATAAAACTATTAATTTATAAATGTTTAAAGGTTATTATTATTAAACAATTTATTTATTTGCTGTAGTGTATTAGTGTCAATTAATGCTTTATTGAATCACTCAACAAGTCACTGAAAATACCCAGTAAACGAAAACTAATTGAAATGAATTAAAAAGAATTCACAAAGAGCTTTCGTGAATCCCGCTTTGTGACAAATACGAATTGGAGCCATGATGCAATTTTCCTGAATTCGTGAAACTGTATTGAACTTCCGAACCTTCTATCCGTACCAATTCACTGGACAAGTTTTGAGCCTTTAATTTTTTTTCAATTCGTTAGCACGAATTCAATGCATTCCTTGGCCATTTCTTTCGAATGCGAATTCGTTTGGACAGATTGGTACATATTGAATTAAATTCAATTGAATATACAAAGAGCTTGAGTGAATCCCGCTTTGTGACAAATACGAATTGGAGCCTACCAAAAATGTTAATTCGTTTCAATTCATTTGAATTAGTTTTTTTTTACTGGGTAGAGCGTCTGTGTTCAGTTAGGTTCCGTAGCATAGTGGTTAGGGCGTTAGTTTCGTAGTCCGTAGTTCGTAGGTCGTAGGTTCAAGTCTCGCGTGCGTTAGATTTTATTTATTTCGTAGGTTTGCGTTTATTCCGATTTTTCTGTATTGCATAGGTATAAGTATGCAATTTAATGATTATATACACCGTTAAATAATTTAATTAACAAATATTAAATTAAAATTTTTTTTTTATATATAAATGGATATGTATTAATCCCCACATATACATATACTAACATTATTTATGAATTCGCTATTGGTCACGATTAAATTAAAAAAAAAGTAAAAATCATTAAATAATAATGCCATTTATTAATAATTAAAGTTATTATAAAAATTAGTTAAAAATGATCTCAAATATGCTATGAGCAGTTTTTCCAGGGTTTTTGGAGAGGAAAGAATTCTGTAAGTAAGGGTCAAGCAGTATTTAATAAGGTTCTAGGAACACCTGCTTTCCCCCTTTTACCATCTAAATTTGTCGCTAACCAGGGGTTTGCAGGAGGTAATCAGAGTTAACTTGCAATGCAAATAAACTCTGCTTTCATCCTATTACATCCTTACAAACCCTCAGTTTTAAGGAGGTAAGCAGGTCTAAAAGTTCGACTCGGGAGTGTAAATAAAATATCGAAACTGTGCAACGAAAAAAATGTGTTCATTCTGTACCAAATAGTGTCTAAAATTAGGGATAATTCTGAAAGAAGTTGAATTTTTTGAATGCTTTTGATAGTCATAGAAAATTTAATAGACAGTTTTCTAAATTTTAGTGAACGAGTTTTATATATTGATGACAGTTTTCTAAATTTTAGCAAGCAACTCGTCACTGATTGTGACTCAAAGTATGTTATGCATTCAATGATTTAGTGTCCCGTCTCAAAGTAATATACTAATCCATTAATGGTTGACGGACTTTTTCTTTCCGTGTAGATATGTCATAAGGATATTCTTTAAAAATTGATTTCGCTATTTAATTGTTAATGAAGTAAATATCTTTTTAAATTTAAATTTAAATTCTGCTTTGAAAAAATAAGCAGTAGAGATGAGTTAGACTGTGTCGAAGAATTATCATAAAGTTTAAAAATTTGTGTAAAAGTCTATGTGGCGTGTCATAGATGATACTTTATCGGTAATGTCGATAACTCCTATTAATAAATAAAAGTCTTACTATTTACGGATACATAATATTATTCTAAACCTATGTTTTGAAAGGGGGAGGAAAAAATTAGCATTAAAACGGGGACTAACAATGCTGATGTGCCTGGCAAGCCTCGTAAATTTATTAGAGGCACAAAATTCTACTTGCCAAATAAGTAAGTGACTTTACTGTAAGACAGAATTTAATTTTATGGCTTAAATATATTTTTGAACTTGTATTTTACATGGTCGCTTTTTCAGTAGGCTAATTAGCACCATATTATTGTTTCAGATTCTAATTTGTCTTCGTATCCATTGGTAATTTCTGTTAATGTAAGTATACCCAAAGAAATGAAAGTTGAAGTTTTGAAAACATTAAAGGATAAAACTGATTATTGTATCGAACCAGAATGTCTTCATACAGGTTTGTAAATGATGTTCTAAAAACTAATTTTAGAATTTGCAATTATCAATTAAAAATTGTTAACTACCCGAGTCGAAATTTAAGCCCTACTTTCACCCTGAATTTTCAGGGTCTATTGAGTGTTAGGAGTAGTAAAGTAGGGTCTAATTCTAATACAATTAGACCCTACTTTGACTCCCAAAATAGGCGGAAATTTGCCAATCTTCCATTTGGAGAAGCTAAGGAGGGTCTACTTCTAAGAAACCTATACCGTACTTTTAAACCTCGCAGACCCTACTTTCATACTCTTAGACCCTACATTCTAAAAGAAAATTTAGAATTATTTTTTAATGCATTACTTGAAACACTGCAAATGCAAAAAGTACTCCAAATTCATAAATACTGATGTGTTTTATAGCGTCTATATACACTTCGTGTATATAGACGCTATAAAACACATAAAATTCCACTTTTACTCATCCCAAGTGCTTCAATTGAATCTGAGCAAATCTTCAAATTTTTCTTTTTCTAATTGTAGGGTCTAGGAGTATGAAAGTAGGGTCTACGAGGTATAAAAGTACGGTATAGGTTTCTTAGAAGTAGACCCTCCTTTGCTTCTCCAAATGGAAGATTGGCAAATTTCAGCCTATTTTGGGAGTCAAAGGAGGGTCTAGTTTTTAAAAATTGTATTGAAATCAGACCCTACTTTACGACTGCTAAACCTGAATAAGCCCTACATTTTCAGAGGCTAAGTAGGGTCTAAATTTCGACTCGGGTATATTTAATATGACTAGTTAGTTTCACTTTCTACCTACTTAACTATTCTTTTCTATACTATTTCCCTTAGGGTCATTTTATTCAATGTGACGTATATACCTATAATGAAGTGAATATGGCACGTGATCATTGAATAACAAGTTCTTAATGGTCTCTAAAAATTGCCAGGATTGTATTTTAAAAATTCCTAATAAATTTTTTTATAGCATCAAGAGTGTTGAAGTACTTGGATACAAGCATAAATCCCTGTGACAATTTTTATAAATTTGCATGCGGCCAATACATCCAAGGTCAAATAATTTCTGATGAGGCATATGATGAGTACCATACTATTCGAAGACTTTATTTTGAAAATCATATAAAAATTAGGACTATTCTAGAGCAAGAACTGAAACCTATGGAACCTAAATATGTACATTTAATGAAAACTATTTACCAAAATTGTATAAATGCCGGTATGTCTTATTGTTTTAATATAAAATTACAATTTATTTCTATAGACACTCTTACTAACTAAATAACTTAATACCGACTGCATCGTCAAACGAACATTTGAGATTAAACACCATTTTATCAAGATTGCCATTAATCTCCGATTTTTAATGTTTATTTCCAGAAATTAAGAGCGATAATGAAATTGTAAACTTCGTTGTGGATTCTATAAGAAAAGTTGATGGGTGGCGCTACTTAGAGAATAATTATTTGGAAGACACGAGTTTCCAATGGGAAGACTTTAATTCCAAATTAGGAAAAGAGCTTGATATATATGAAACACCTTTCTTTAAAGTGGATGTTGAACTGGACTTAAAAAATAATTCAAATTACGTTTTTCATGTACGTGGAGAAAATTTTTATTTTCCTAAATGAAATCTTCTGTTTTAATAATAATTTAGTGATAATAATTTTTGTTTAGATTTATAAACCATCGAATCTTGTTAATCCTGTAATTACTATTGATAAACTTAGCCAATATGTAGTATCCAAGGAGCATGTGCTTAATACAATCATTAAAATAAATAAAATGCTCCATGATGTAAGTATTAGGATGTAATATTTTTTATCGAATGTGCAAGTTTTTTAAAAGTTTGTAGACTGCTGAACCACGTTGAAGTCCACAACGTTTATCAACGAAAAAAATTGTTTACTTAGTAAATTAATAAAATATATCGCAGCAATATTGACACAAAAATATTTAGAAAAAATAGATTGATGTTTATGTTTTGATAATAATTGTTATACAATTAAATATTAAATTAAAAATAATATTCGAATAGAGGAAACAAATTTTTTTCGTTGATCAACGTTGTTGACTTCAACTTTGTACTGCTAAAGCATTAAACATCTATTTTTTAGACTTTTTTAGGACTACCTATATATTACATGTAATCAAATCCTTATTCTATACAGATATCTGAACCAGAAAACTATGAAAAATTGTACAACTTTGATAGAATGACTATTAAAGAGCTTGAAAATAATTATTCCAATATTATGTGGAAGAAAATTTTTAATACAAGGCTACATCCATTCAACGAAGTTAGAGATGATGATATTGTAGTAATATCGGATATCAGCTTCTTCAAAAAATTTAACGAACTTATTAATAGTGTTTCAAAAAATGACCAGGCAATTTATCTAATATGGAGAGCAATAGAAAATATTTTTATTATGAATAATGGAATCAGTGAACAAGTTAGAGGAAATAATAATAACTTTTGTTTCCAAGATCTGGGAAAGAAATTCCCTGTTTCTTTGGGTGCTCTTTACGTGAAAAATTACTATAATGAAACATCTAATAACAAACACATTGACGAAATGTTTACAAATATTTTTCATCAGCTTCAAACAGCCATTGAAAATGTAATAATACATTAAATTTAAAACTAGCAATTTAACAAAATTGTCTCAAGATGTCCTTATTTTAATGTCTTGGCCATTATAGATATTGAGACAGTTTTGTTATTGTTGCTCAAAAGTTTATTTACAATATTGGGTTTAAAAAGTTAATTCATTTACTTATATTCAGGTGGATTGGCTAGATAACAAGACAAAGGATTATGCATTAGAAAAACTAGCTTCAATGTACGAAACTCGTCAAGAAATGTTCAAAATTCCTAACGACAAGGAGTTTGATGAATATTTCTCAAACTTGGAAATTAAATCCGGACATTATTTTGAATCCATCATAAATGTTACGAAATTTAATAGTAATGTAAAAGCTAGTTTATTCAGAGTGCATTTAAATAGCTCACACATCGAATTTCGAAAGTACTCTGCAGGTGTAAAAGCATTAAATGTTATGAAATTGAATAGTATAGGTTCGTCGGTATACTTTTATTTTGATAATCTGTTTAAATCTAATTTCAGCATTTGGTAAACAAGTCTTTAACTACATATTCAACTTTATTTAGGTGTATCACAGGGTATGTTGCAAGGAAATTTCTTCAATGCCAACAGACCAATGTATATGAATTATGGGTCAGTTGGATTTTTCATTGCACGTGAAATTTTTCATGGTTTTGATAATAATGGTAGACAATATGATAAAAATGGAAATCTCATTGATTGGTGGGATGCTACAACTCACGAACAATTTATTTCAAGAGCGCAGTGCTTTATTGGTCAATATGGGAACTATACAGATAAAGAAGTTCAGATGAAAGTTAGTTGAAAAAAATGAAGACAATTTTCTTTTTTAAAAAGTTTATGTTAATCTTATCCCACTTAGAACATTATCTTTCTGAAAGCATAAATTCAATCTCAAGTTTAGCAAAGAATATAGTTTTAATATACTTATATTTCACAGGTAAACAGCTTTCTTACGCTAGATGAAAACATTGCAGATAATGAAGGATTAAAACTTGCATACTCAGCCTATCAAATGTGGGTAGAGGATCATAGACCTGAACTCTTACTTCTTGGAATGTATTATACACAACCGCAACTTTTTTGGATTAGTTTTGCGCAAAATTTTTGTGAGAAGGAATCTACAGATATAAAAGATAATAAATTCGCTTTAAATCAATTTCGAGTCATTGGTTCTATTGTCAACCGACCAGAATTTGCAAGAGATTTCCAATGTCCCATAGGTTCAAAAATGAAGCCTACATTAAAATGCACTATTTGGTGAATGTTTATTCCTTAAATTAGATTTTAATAATAGAACCAATGATATCAAATTAAAAAAATTATTATTTTATCATATAGAATTTAGTTCTTAGGCCTTCTTTAAATACCAACTATATGTATGTAAAACCGCAGGTATAGAATTTTCACATTTCTAGAAGAAGCTTACATCCATTATGACAGAATAATCTATTTACATCTGTAACAAATCTTTTTATTTTTACAAAATTAAATCAATTTTAAAAGAAATAGCAAATCTGATTGTATAAAATTATATCTTTTTTTTATTCATTATAATTAAAGTTATTTACATGAAAACATGCAAATTGATTACTAAATAATTTTATAGAAAATTACATAAGAAGTTCAATAACCAGAAAAGATGAATATATAAGGAACCAATTGAGGAGCTGGATCAAAGAACCGGCTCTTCGCTCGGACCGCAAGTGCTGATATCAGTCGGGTGGCAGTGAGCGCCTCTAGGCGAAGAGCCGGTTCTGCGATCGAGCTCCTCAATTGTTTTCTAAAATTAATAACATATGCCGTCGAGAGAAAAAAAACATAATACAACCTCTTACAATATTTACTATCTAATTTAAGCCATCATTTGCTTTTAATATAAGATTGTACTGCTGAAATCCCTGGCGGGTTTGGTAAACCGAACTCTGACCAAATATTTGGTGGGAGTTTGGTTTGAGGCAAATTAATGCAAATATTTGGTGAAATATGATGTAAAAATAATAAATAGTGTTAGAATAGGCATTATTTAATTGATTCGAGTGAAAATTATGTAAAATGAAACAATAATTATGAAATAATTAAGATTTAAAATATATGTGCGGTGTTAATCTGTCAGTTGAAATAGTGTGAAAAATTAATAAATTGTCGATGAAAATTAGTTTAAAACGTTAAGAAAAAGAGCGAATATATATTCTTTAATATATAAAGTAATTGAATTATTATATAGTTTAGTTAATTACTGCATATTAACAAGAAAAATGTAAATTAAAGTAATTATTTTTCTATTCTATTATAAAGTGAAAGTATATAGTGTCGATAACAGAGGTGTGCACAAAAATAGCCGCGCTCAAAACACGGTAGGTGGCACGAGTAACAATTTCTCAATACTTAGAGTAGTTGTAATTTAATTAAATTTCATTAAAATAGAATATACTGTAAAATAAACTAAAGTTTCAACTATTGAATATATTTATTTAATATTCGTGATTAACATGTATCTACAATTTATTATAAAACAAATTAAAACAATCAAAATTCTTTGTATATGCACTGACACCAATGCTTTTCCGATAGTCAATATACAGGGGCAATAGCAGTATTGATTTTCGAAAAATAAATTCATCCTACTTCTGTTTGTCATTTTTCTTGAGTAAAATTAAATAAATAATAATAATAACAACAATTATTATTATTATTATTATTGTTATTATTATTATTATTATTATTATTATTATTATTATTATTATTATTATTATTATTATTATTATTATTATTATTATTATTATTGTTATTATTGTTATTATTATTATTATTGTTAGAGAAAAGAAAATTTTTGGTCGGTAAATTTTTTGTCTGAGAACAGCGCCACATGGCGAAATATTTTTATTTTTTTTTATTTAAAAAATGTGATTAACAAAAAATTAAAATTTATTTTTTTAAATTCAAGAAAAGTTATTAAAATTTTAATTTAATAGTTTAATCAAACATTGTTTTTCAAAAAATTTCAGGGTGGCCACATGTCAGTAAAGTCAGGAAAAAAATATTTGTCAGGGAAATTAACCCTTCGTCACACATCTACGGAGAGATTCCCTCTACGGTTTCAGTATTTTTTAAATAACTTTTGTTTTCCTCATTGCAAAATATAATTAGTTTCTATACCTTTTGACAATTTACTCCTCAACACATTTCTAAAAAAACATTTAGTTTAAACATAATTAATATTTAATTATGAAGTTTCAAACCCAGAAAAAATTCGAAAAAGTGAGATTATGTTAAATAAAAAAAATCAAGTTTTCAAAACATTTTTTGTCCCACTGTTGCGGTTAATGACAAAATTATATTATAAATATATAATTAAAATGAATTGTTTAATGATTTTTTTGCTTATTTGTTAATGTAACATTATTTTTACATGTCAAGTGGAAATCCTTCGAAGATGTGCATTCGTGTAATAAATTTTTTTTTTGAGACCGAAAATTAATTTTATTAATTTTATAATTTATAATAATTTACTACAAATATTTGTAAGTTTGTGTTAAAACTAAATTTTTGTTAATTCCTTTGTTTATGTTGCAATGTTGCTTATTTTACAATGTGGTGAGGGATTCCCTCTAAACGTGTGTAAAGTCGTAATTCTTTTCCATGTGTGTGACGGAGGGTTAAGAAAATTGAGAATTTTTTCGACTTATTTTAAAAAATTGCGACTTTTTCGACTTTTCTTCCAAACATTTCAAGTATTTATTTACAATTTTGAAAATAATTGAAATATTAGCTTCTAATTGTTAAAAATTCAATGTTTTCAGTATTTTCAATTACATATTTCCAAAAATTCAAATACATATAAAAATAATAACATTTTACAATTATTTTTAACATTTTGGAGAATACAATCAAGCTCAAAATTTTTAATTAAAATTTAAAGAAAAATTAATTAGTTTTTTAAATTATACCAAATTTTTTTTTAAGAAATTCAATTATTTAGGAAAAATTACATTAAAATATTTTTAAAAACTAATTATTAGAATTGTTTTAAAATAATTTTTTTAGATTTAATTATCTTTGAACAATGTGAATAAAAGTTCATGAAAATTTACTTTTTGAAGTTATTAAAATTTTTCAGAAATCATGGTCCTGTTTAAAATTAAAATTCTTCAAAAATTTGATTATTTTTATTTATATTTTTCAAAAATTTAATTATTTTAAAAAGATTTTACCAAATTTTAATTGTTTGTAAATTATTCAAAATTGAAAAACTATTATATTTATATAATTACAATTATTATAAAAAATTAAATTTTTGTATTTAAATAATTGAATTCATGAAGAATTTTTGGGAAATTATTTAAATTAATTGATTCATAGATGAAGTTTAGTTGAAAATTGTAAAAAGTAATTGAATTCAGGAAGGGTTATAATTGTAATTTTTAGAAATTATTTACATTCATAAATTTTACCCTTTTTCCGTAAACATTCATATTTTCCTGTAAAAAGAATTTTGTCAGGGAAAGTAATTTTTAATATCAGTAAATTGTCAGGTAATTGTCAGGGAAATTGATAAACTTAAACTTGTGGGCACCCTGAATTTATTTTTCAATGTTTCAATAAATGGTTTAATTACGTCTATTGGAACTATATTGTTGTTTAAATTTTGTTTAAGAGTCTTTGATTAAATTCGATATTTTTTAATGAAGTGCATCCACATTGGAATAATTTTCAATTTTTAATAATTTTTAAAAGGCAATAAGTAATAAGCAAATAAAATATTTAGCGCGCCTTTAGTCTCCTTTTAAAAAATCGTTATTTTTAATGTTTTACAAATATGATAAACTTCTAAAATAATAATCGTTTTTAATTATAATAAACTTATTTTAAAGATCATTTTCTGTAGAATGAGAATTACTTCTTGACATTAAAGTGTAATTTTTTTAAAAAATGCAGGTCGTCAATCATGGACTAAAAAAAATTAAAAAAATATGAAGCCATCTTATTAACAGAAAAATAATTTTTAAAATTCAAACATATTTTTTTATTAAATTTTCTTGGAAAATTTACACCATATCATGTTTTATATATTTTCATTCTACAGAAAATGACATTTAAAATAAGTTGAAGATCATTAAAAAGCGTTTATTATTTTAGAAGTTATTTACATTTTTTGTAAAACATTGAAAATTACAATTTTTTAAAAATACATAAATAAAATATTGGCCAAATGATTTCTCTAAGGTCTTGTTCTTTTCAAAATTTTATGATTTTCAAAACATACACTATCATCGGAAATTATCGGTACGGCTGCACGCGCAGTGCCTAAAAACATACCAATCCTTAAATCACGATTTTTTTGTAAATACAAATGTCAGAAAATTAATAAATATACCATTCGAAAGATTACTAAATTCTACGATTAATGATACATAACTGAAAATTTTAATATTTTATTCAAAGGTTATTGCAGCAATCGACAAATTTGACCAAAAAATAAAAAAATAATATTTTTTTGGAAATTATTTCAACCCTTGCATATTTTTTAAAAATTGTTGAAAAAGATTAAAACTTACATAGGTGTGTAATCTTTCAACTCTCATCTTTAATTTAAGACCAAAAGAGTTTAAAAACCTTATTCGGTTCATGACATTTCATTATAAGCGTCCGAGCATTTTCAGCCAAAACCCGTTCAAAATCGACTAATTCAATGTATTTGTCAAAAAACATGCTAGGACGATTATAATGATATCTCACGAAGCGAATAAGATTTTTTAACTCTTTTGGTCTTAAATGAAAGATGAGACTTGAATGATTACATCTATGTAACTTACAAATTTTTCCAACAATCTTTGAAAAAATGCAAGGGTTGAAATAATTTTAAAAAAATTTTATTTTTTTCATTTTTTTTAAATTTGTCGATTGCTGCAATCTGTGTAAAAATTGTAAAAATTTTCAGTTATGTATATCATTAATCGTAGAATTTAATAATCTTTCGAATGGTATATTTATTACCCACACAGCACATGATATTTCCTAAATATTTCCTGAATATTTCACTGAAAGATTGAAATATTTCAGTGCAAGGTTCTTGAAATATTGCTGCAAATTGAAAATGTCCGCCTATGTGAAATATTAACGCGAAAGTTTAGAAAATATTTCATTGAAATATTCCTGCAATATTACACATGACGATTCTGCAATATTCTGAAAATATTTCACAAAATTAAAAAATTTGGTAAACACCTGAAACCAATAGGAATTTTGTGAAATATTTTAAAACCCCATAGGATTCTAGAAAGCTAAAAACTACTGCGCAGCTCTACGTGCCATAGAAACTGAGTTCGACCAGTGCGCGGGGCGCATGATTATTCCCCAAATGTCATTTTTCCGAAATGTCATTTTACCGAACTGCACTTTTGCGAATACTCATTTTTGCGAAAAGCCAATTTTGCGAAATGTCACTTTTGCGAATTGTCATTTTTTCGAAAAGCTATTTTTGCGAATTGTCATTTTTGCGAATCGCCATTTTTACGAATTGTCAATTTTCCGAAAAGTCATTTTTGCGAATCACCATTTTTACGAATTGTCCATTTTTCGAAAAGTCATTTTAGCGAATTGTCATTTTTGCGAAAAATACAATAGTGAATTTCTAGACCTACAAGTTTTCTATTGAATTTTTCGCAAAAATGACAATTCGCAAAAATTACTTTTCGGAAATTTGACAATTCGTAAAAATTGCGATTCGCAAAAATGACTTTTCGGAAAATTGACAATTCGTAAAAATGGCGATTCGCAAAAATGACAATTCGCAAAAATGACTTTTCGGAAAATTGACAATTCGTAAAAATGTCGATTCGTAAAAATAACTTTTCGCAAAAATGACTATTCGCAAAAATGACAATTCGTAAAAATGGCGATTCGTAAAAATAGCGATTCGCAAAAGTGACAATTCGCAAAAATGACATTTCTTAAAAATGACAATTCGCAAAAATGGCAATTCGTAAAAATTACTTTTCGCAAAAATGACTTTTCGCAAAAATGACATTTCACAAAAATGTCTTTTCGTAAAAATGACAATTCGCAAGAATGACTTTTCGGAAAATTGACAATTCGTAAAAATGACAATTCGCAAAAATGACAATTCGCAAAAATGACTTTTCGGAAAATTGACAATTCGTAAAAATGTCGATTCGTAAAAATAACTTTTCGTAAAAATGACAATTCGCAAGAATGACTTTTCGGAAAATTGACAATTCGTAAAAATGGCGATTCGCAAAAATGATAATTTGCAAAAATAGCTTTTCGAAAAAATGACAATTCGCAAAAGTGACATTTCGCAAAATTGGCTTTTCGCAAAAATGACTATTCGCAAAAGTGCAGTTCGGTAAAATGACATTTCGGAAAAATGACATTTGGGGAATAATCATGCGTCCCCCAGTGCGCATAATTTAAGTTGAAAATTTCCAAAATATTTCAATGAAATATTTTCTAAACTTTCGCGTCAATATTTCACATAGGCGGACATTTTCAATTTGCAGCAATATTTCAAGAACCTTGCACTGAAATATTTCAATCTTTTAGTGAAATATTTAGGAAATATCAAGTGCTGTGTGGGTTCATATCCTGAGTTTTTGAATAAGTTTCTAAATAACTCTTGAAAAAAGTTTTTCCGTGTACAAGTAAAAAAATAGGTATAGGGGAGGATGTGTCAAGGATAGTTAGTGGCTGTATTGCTTAAACGGCTTGTTCAAATTAGCGCATCATTCATGATATTTTCGCGTCTTAACACCAAAGGATGATAATAAAAATTGGAAGTCAATCTGACAACATTTGCAAAGTTAAATGTTTATTTTTACAAAACACCTGCTTTTGAAAAATGTCAACATAATATTTGTCACGCTATATTATGTTTTCTATGTTAGTGCTTCCGAATGTTTGTATACTTAAGGCTATGTCCAAGTTGTGAAATGTAAACAAACCAAAAGGTTGAGTGATAAGCGTTAAATCCTTCCATAGTTTAATTGTTAGTAGTAAAATAAATGATCATGGGAAGGTGAAGAATTGAAAAAATTCAATGTATCGTCAAAATTGCGACGTTTCGTTGGCTAAGGTTTGCCAACCTCATCAGGCTAAATTTATTTAAACAGAAAAACACTTCAATATTTATAAAGGTTTAAAACAACACTATACACAATACTAAAATATGTTTAAAGAATATCCTACCAGATTCGTTAAAACATAAAAATCGCGTTCTAACTCGTCAATATAAAAAAGATTTCATTGAGAAAAAATATTTTTTTATAAAAATTTCCACATGTGAATTAAAAATGAAAAGTTTATTCATATGAAAGGAAGACATTTCAGCACACTAGTTCAGTGTCAACTGAAATAAATTAAAATTTGCTATTTCGAGAAAGTCAAAAGAATCAAGATAAAGAAAAAGTCAATGAACTGAATGTAAACACAGTTTTATCATAGAGGGAGCAAGTTGTGTTATTGTTGTGTCATTATAGACAAGAGTCTAAACGTCTGAGAAGAGGAAAAAAAGTTCTGTTTAGAGTGAAAATATCTTCCTTTCTATTAATAGTGGAATGATTTGTTTTTATATGGATCATTTCAGATATCTTATCTTCTTTAAGTTATCAAAATGAAACTCTTTGTTGGACAATGAAATCGCTCTATCAACCAGATTGTATACAATATTCTTTTTTTGTTGGATTGGATGATCTGAAAAGTAATTAATGAGTCTATCCGATGAAACTTTCTTGATTTAAAACTTACTAGAAAAAACAACAAAATTGTCACAAATTGGTATCAAAAGCCGACTTCATCGGATAGACTCATTAATTACTTTTCAGATCATCCAATCCAACAAAAAAAGAATATTGTATACAATCTGGTTGATAGAGCGATTTCATTGTCCAACAAAGAGTTTCATTTTGATAACTTAAAGAAGATAAGATCCATCTTAAAAAACAATAACTATCCTTTGGATTTTATTGATAAACATATAAAAATTCGTACAAACCATATATAAAATTTTCTCAGGTTAATAATAATAATAATAATAACAATAATCGAAATAAAATTAGTATTTACAGTCAAATCCCGAAGGTTTGTTTACCGTTCAATGAAAAATGTTTCTTTAAGTTGTCAAATATTCTCAAAGAGTTTCATTTTACTGCGATTCCACTTATTAATAAAAACTCCAATTCTATAATTAGACTTGGTAAAGATTCATCTAAAAAATGGGACAGAACAAATGTTGTATATAAGTTTGACTGTAAAGATTGTCCTGCAACATATATAGGTGAAACAAAACGATCATTGTTAACTCGCATAAATGAACATAAAAAAGTAAATAATAACTCTGTGGTCTACCGCCATCGAATTAATTGTAATCATGACTTCGATTGGGAAAATGCCAAAGTTTTGGACAATGAACCAAATTTTGTAAAACGACGAATATCTGAAATGATCCATATAAAAACAAATCATTCCACTATTAATAGAAAGGAAGATATTTTCACTCTAAACAGAACTTTTTTTCCTCTTCTCAGACGTTTAGACTCTTGTCTATAATGACACAACTTGCTCCTCTATGATAAAACTGTGTTTACATTTAGTTCATTGACTTTTTCTTTATCTTGATTCTTTTGACTTTCTCGAAATAGCAAATTTTAATTTATTTCAGTTGACACTGAACTAGTGTGCTGAAATGTCTTCCTTTCATATGAATAAACTTTTCATTTTTAATTCACATGTGGAAATTTTTATAAAAAAATATTTTTTCTCAATGAAATCTTTTTTATATTGACGAGTTAGAACGCGATTTTTATGTTTTAACGAATCTGATAGGATGTTCTTAAACATATTTTAGTATTGTGTATAGTGTTGTTTTAAACCTTTATAAATATTGAAGTGTTTTTCTGTTTAAATAAATTTAGCCTGATGAGGTTGGCAAACCTTAGCCAACGAAACGTCGCAATTTTGACGATACATTGAATTTTTTTAATTCTTCACCTTCCCATGATCATTTATTTTACTACTAACAAACCAAAAGGTTACTAAACCAACACTAAAATTGCAATTTTGCGACAGCCAATTCTCCCACAAAAAATAACATTTTTACACTTTCTTTACGAAAATGGAAAATTAGAGTATCAAAGTGTATAATGGAGCATTTTTTCGCTGTTCCCATTTACGTAAATAAATATAAATTCACATTTTCTTTATGAAAATGACGAACTAAAGTATCGAATTTGGTTACTACACCTTGCATAGCTGAAAAAATGAGAAAACCACTGAGTTTTAGTCAAAAACAAAATGTGCCTTTTTGCATGGTGATGTCATTGCGACCTTGGTACGGTCTGCGCTTGCGCAGAGAGCAGCAGAGTTCACGTCGCGAAAAATAAACTGTTTGAGTATATCAACCGCACGGATGATGAAGAAGTTCCATGTCAGCGATTGGACCTTCAACATGTGGAAGGGTAAATTTTTCCCTTTCCTCCTTGAAATTACAAGAGAAAGGGTAAAAACTTCTTCATCGTCCGTGCGGTTGATATAGTCAAACAGTTTAATTTTTCGCGACGTGAACTCTGTTGCTCGCTGCGCGTGCGCAGACCGTACCAAGGTCGCAATGACATCACCATGCAAAAAGGCACATTTTGCTTTTGACGCTTTTGACTAAAACTCAGTGGTTTTCTAATTTTTCTCAGCTATGCAAGGCGTAGTAACAAAATACAATACGCCAGTTCACCATTTTCATAAAGAAAAAAAATCATTATTCGCAAAAGTGCAGTTCGGTAAAATGACATTTCGGAAAAATGACATCTGGGGAATAATCATGCGTCCCATATAAAGATAGAGTTTTAAAAATCAATAGTGGATCAATATCTGAGTTCAATTTTGTTGCAGTTCAAAATGATTCAATGTTCGAAATGAGTCACTTTCCCAGTTTATTTTGAGTTCAGTTTTTTTGATGTATATATAATTGAGTAACAAATTCTTTATAATAATAAGAATTTTTAAATTTTCAGAACTAACATAAGGGCCTACTTGGTGGAAAAGTAGGATTAATTTTTAATACATTAATTGAAATACTATAGAAACGCAGAAAGTACTGCAAATTGACAAATACTGTTCTGTAAATCTGGATTAGTTAAAAAATAGTATTTGATAGAAAAAGTCATTTACTGATTCAAATAGTACACACTAAAAAAAGTTTTACTTTCAGCCTGTTTTCGAGGCTGAATTTAAGGTGTAAACGAAGTCAGCTCCATTAAACAAGGACAGACTTATGTGAAATACATGGGCTGAATTTAAGGTGTAAATGGATTCAGACTTTTTTCTCCTGTGTAATATTTTCCTGATGAAATAGTTAATAGTAACTAATTATTAGTTTTTTCCAGTCAAATTAAATTCCCGATTGGTAGACACCTCTTCAAATATATTAGTAGAAACTAAAACCCGTCGAAGACGGGTACGACAGCTAGTTTATAAATAAAAGCAATTCAAATACAAATGTTTTGAAATTATAAATTTCAAGATAAATTTTTGTATAACACTTTGTAAAAATACAAATATTTACGGTCCCTTTTTATTGTAACTGAATTGAACGTTTGGATAATTGCAAAATTCACAAAATCCAGGGGGACCCATTATTCCTGGCTGTCCATGTGAACCCGGTTGACCTGGAAGGATAACAAAATTTGACTTTTTATTAAATTTTTTTTTCATTTTCTATTTTATTTAACACAATTTGCAATCAGATAGCAATTCGTTCTCGTAATTTTGCAGCAATTTTTCATGTCAAGATTGCATTGATGCTTTACCTGGTCTTCCAGGCTCCCCTTGATCACCAACTCTTCCAGTTGGTCCTGGCTTGCCATTAAGGCCTGGATTTCCTACAAAAGGAAATAAGAATTTGAATTCTACACGGCTCGAACCAGTGAAAGTATTTAAAAATACGGACATTACGGGCCAACTACAGTAGAACCTCGATTATCCGAGGTAATGTGGGGAAGAGGTACCTCGGATAATCGAAAACTCGGATAACACGGAACCAATGAAAATTTCAAAATTTTAAATTATTTTTCATGTGTTTAAAGTGTTAGAATAATATTAAATGACAAAAATGGACGAAATTTTAAATGCAATGATCACAAATAGTGGTTTTGTAAAATTTATTTTCCAAATTTAGTCGCTCGATCCGTTTTATCCGAGTTATTCCACATTATCCGAGCATGTTTAGTGCCTCGGATAATCCGGAATCTCGGATAATCGAGGCTCGGATAACCGAGGTTCTACTGTACTGAAAAAAATATAACGGGTCCGAGTCAAATAAGAGAACACTTTATACTTAAAACTATAAATTAAATTTTTTCATAATTATAAAACTTCATGTTTTATAATATAATTAAAGATAACTCAGTGATAAAATCATTATTTTATATTATAAGAATATTATTTATTACTATAACTCCTTCAAAATTATTTTTCATCATTTCAATTCAATTATTATTTCCAAGAATTTGTAACTAAAAATTCTTCATTAAATCAATTATTTTTAATAATTTTCGAAAAAGTTCTTTGGCAATTTTCAAATTCATTGGTTTACAATATTCACTTTTAAGAAATTTCAATTATTCGTAAATTCTCCAAATAAACATATACAATTACAAATTAAAAACTTTAAATAATATAGCAAAAAATTCAATTAAATTTTTTCAAAAAATTAATTTCAAAATTCAATTATTTATAAAAATTCACGCTTAATTGCTTTTAATATTTAATTATTATCTAAAATTTTAATTAATTCATTTTTAAATCAATTTTGATTAAAAACGAATTTTAATAAACTTTTTAAGGACAATTTCATTTTTCGAGAAATTGGATTAAATATTGTGTTAAAAGTAATTGAAATTCTACGATGAGTTTTATTATTTTTAAAAATAATTGAATCCCTAAGAAGAATTTTATTATTTTTGAACAATATTTAATTTTTGTGATGAATATTATTACTTTGAAAATAATTGAATTTCTGCAATAACTAATTTGTAACTTTTCCAAAATTAAATTTTTTTCGTGTTTTTAACTAAAATTCTTCTCTAAATCAATTACTAGCAACAATTCTAACGTCTTTCTGCCTTTTTAAACTAAAATTAGCAATTCTAAAAATAATAGAATTTAGAAATTTTCCAATTTTAATTTTCGTTGAAAACACGAGAGAGAGAGAGAGAGAGAGAGAGAGAGAGAGAGAGAGAGAGAGAGAGAGAGAGAGAGAGAGAGAGAGAGAGAGAGAGAGAGAGAGAGAGAGAGAGAGAGAGAGAGAGAGAGAGAGAGAGAGAGAGAGAGAGAGAGAGAGAGAGAGAGGCGAGAGAGAGAGAGAGAGAGAGAAGAGAGAAGAGAGAGAGAGAGAGAGAGAGAGAGAGAGAGAGAGAGAGAGAGAGAGAGAGAGAGAGAGAGAGAGAGAGAGAGAGAGAGAGAGAGAGAGAGAGAGAGAGAGAGAGAGAGGAGAGAGAGAGAGAGAGAGAGAGAGAGAGAGAGAGAGAGAGAGAGAGAGAGAGAGAGAGAGAGAGAGAGAGAGAGAGAGAGAGAGAGAGAGAGAGAGAGAGAGAGAGAGAGAGAGAGAGAGAGAGAGAGAGAGAGAGACATAAAAATCATTTAACATAAATTTCTTTTGACATAAAATTCATTTAATGTAAATTTTATTTGTTATAAAATTCATTTGACATCAATTTCATTTGGCATACGTGTCATTCAACGTAATTCTCATTTGACATAAATATCATTAGACATAAAATTAGCTTGACATAAATTTCATTTGACGTGAATATCATTTAACATAATTATTATTTAACGTAAAATTAAATTTATATAAATTTCATTTAGCATAAAGTCCATTTAATATAATTCTCATTTGGCATAAAATTTACTTGACATAAATTTCATTTGGTATAAATCCCATTTAACATAATTTTCATTTGACATAAAGTTCATTTGACATAAAAGACATTTAACACAATTCTCATTTGTCATAAAAGTCATTCAACAACATTCTCATTTGACATAAAAATCAGTTTACACAAATTACATTTTACATAACAATATCGGCGCGAATTTTAAAAGTAACCAATTAGATATTATCAACTACATTGTGATTCGCCAATTTTGAAATTCGCGTCTATATTTCCATGTGAAATGATCTATACGTAAAATAAAATCTATGACAACTGAATTTTATGTCAAATGAGAATTTTGTGTAATGAGTTATCCGTCAAATGAAATGTATATCAAGTGAACTTTATGTCAAATGAAAATTATGTTAAATGGGATTTATACCAAATGAAATTTATGTCATCTAAATTTTATGCCAAATGAGAATTATGTTAAATGCAATTTGTGCTAATTGAAATTTATATAAATTTAATTTTACGTTAAACAATAATTATGTTAAATGATATTCACGTCAAATGAAATTTATGTCAAGCTAATTTTATGTCTAATGATATTTATGTCAAATGAGAATTACGTTAAATGACATTTATGCCAAATGAAATTGATGTCAAATGAATTTTATAACAAATAAAATTTATGTTAAATGAATTTTATGTCAAAAGAAATTTATGTTAAATGATTTTTATGTCAATAGAAATTTATGTTACATAAGTTTTACGTCAAATGGGAATTAAGTTATCTGAGTTTTATGTAACATAATATTTCTGTTTAATGAATTTTATGGCAAATGATATTTATGTTAAATGGTTTTCGTCTACAATGAAATTTATGTAAAATAATGTGCATATTATGTGAATTTTAAGTTAAGTAGTTTTATATTAAATAACTATTCGGTCAAAAAAGATTTCGGGAATAAGCAGGCGTCTCACATTCTGTTGATTAGTCATTCAAAAAAAAAAATGTTTTTGACAATTATTCTTTCGATTAAGGGTAAGTCCAAGGTGTGAAATGTAAACAAACCAAAAGGTAAACAAACCAAACACAAAAATCGCACTTTTGGAACAGCCATTTCTCTTACAAAAATTAACATTTTTACACTTTCTCTACAATAATGGAAAATTAGAGTTTCAAAGTGTCCAAAAATATCATTTTTGTCGTACCTGCACGGAAAGTATGTCATTTCGGGCACTTAAGGCGGGCGCAAAGTAACACATTACGCCCGGGAGTGGGGGAAGCGGGCGGAAAAGTATTTTGCGCCCGCTTGTATGACGTCAGCGGGCGGAAAAGTATTTTGCGCCCGCTTGTTAATTATTCGATTTTCTTCATTAAAATGCGACATTTTTGACTTTCTTTTTATGTTGACTATAGAACTGCAAACATTTTCAACTTGTTTTATTTTGTCTATAAAAATTTGCAATTTTTTTTTATTTTCTCTAAAAAAAATAATGAGACATTTGGTTTTGTTCCCATTTCGTTTATCAAAATTGTCAATTTTAAAAGTTCTTGTTTCAGTTTTGTTCAATTATTAATTACTACGTTCTAAATAAATACTATGTTTCCAGAATACATTGTTTTTTATTTCTATTTTAAAACTTCTATCATTATAGACTTCATTCGATATAATGTTTATATAGAGCTTAATTTTTAACTTATATGAGCGTTTAATCGTGCGTGCCCTCAATGCCATACTTTCCATGCAGTTAGGACAAAAAATTATGTTCGCATCATGGGCGCAAAGGTGATTACGACTTTGGCAAAATCACCTATTTTGCGCCCTTGTTACGAAAATAACTATTTTGGCATTTTTTCGCGTTCCCATTAGCGTAAATAAATATAAATTCACATTTTCTTTATGGAAATGGCGAACTAAAGTATCGAATTTGGTTACTAAACTTTGAATAACTGAAAAAATGAGAAAACCACTGAGTTTTAGTCAAAAACAAAATGTGCCTTTTTGCATGATGATGTCATTGCGACCTTGGTACGGTCTGCGCACGCGCAGCGAGCAACAGAGTTCACGTCGCGAAAAATTAAACTGTTTGACTTTATCAACCGCACGGACGATGAAGAAGTTTTTACCCATTTCTCTTGTAATTTCAAGGAGGAAAGGGAAAAATTTACCCTTCCACATGTTGAAGGTCCAATCGCTGACATATAACTTCTTCATCATCCGTGCAGTTGATATACTCAAACAGTTTATTTTTCGCGACGCGTCAAAAATGCTGTTTTACAGGTCATTTTAATTAGTTATTTTACTAATTGCTTTTTATTGCTCATAGTCAAAAACAATTTTATTGGAAACTTTGATACTGTAATTTTCCATTTTCGTAAAGAAAGTGTAAAAGTGTTATTTTTTGTAGGAGAATTGGCTGTCTCAAAATTGCAATTTTAGTGTTGGTTTAGTAACCTTTTGGTTTGTTTACATTTCACAACTTGGACATTTAATTCTTATATTAGATAAAAAGAATTTCGATAAAATAAAGATATGGAAAATAAAAATTGGAGACTTTTCATGCGCCTCCATCAATCGATTCGTTTTCTTGTCATAAATGTAATTTTGAGAATAATTAATAAAAATATTAACAAATAAAAAAATTATTTTAAAAAATAAAAAAAAAAATTTTCTGAATTTTAAAAAAATTGTATAAAAAAAAATTTGTAGATATTTTCGAAAACCCTTGTGTCAGACTTTAGGTATTAATGACTGCAATAAACCTGCAAAATTTCAGGACAATCCATCAAAATTTGTCTGAGATAATTTGTACACAATTTTTTTGAGACATACACACACATACATACACACACATACATACACATACATCTGGACATTTGCTGAGAATTGAATATACATTTGTTCTAAATGAAAATGAGTCCATATATAACCTTCTTTTGAAAAAATTGAAAATTGCCACGAATGCAAAGCTTCCTCGTGAGGAAGTAAAAATAAAAAAAGTTTAAAGAAAATATTAGGAAAAAATAATTGAAAAGTTTAAGGAAAATTATACGAAAAATAGTGGAAAAATTTAAAGAAAATGTTAAGAAAAATTTTTAGGAAAATATTCAGTAAAAATTTAAGGGGGGAAACCACATTAGACGTCTTAAAAAGTCGATTTTTTCTTTTTTGCATAAATTGTTAGTTAAGGTGTTCAAAAATAGGCTGCAAAAGTTTTAAGAGCAAAATTCGACGTCCTCGCTGTACTGGTGATGAACGGAGCGCGCTCCAAGTTACCGTAGATTAGTATAATAGGCGTAGCACTTTTGAGACTAAGGAGAGCAGAAAGGGACGAAAAGAGGAATTATTAGACTTTCATGCTACTTATGAAGCAGATAAAGGGATATGTATAGTGCTGGAATAGCCGATTAAAGTGTAAGCACTTTAAAAAAATTCTTTTGTATAAATATCAATTTTTTGATACTTTTTTTCAAATATGCGTTTTTCTCAAAACAGGATTTTTGAAATTGCCGTGCAGTGTAGCTCAAAAAGTTATTGACCGTTTTTAAAATGAAAAATTGGAAATTGTTCGTTATTAAATTTATTGTTAAGTGAACCAAACTTGAAAAGAAAAAAAATTTTAGTACCTTTTTTTAAATAAAAAAGTTGCAAAAAAGTAGGCAAAAAATCGAATATTTTTTTCAAAGTAGTGTCATTTTTTCAATTTTCAATATTTTCACTTAAAAGTTGGTTCACTTAATAATAAAATATTTATAAAATGTGAATAAACTTGATTTTTTGCTTTCGGACAAAATTTGTGAGCTCAGGACTGCACGGCAGTTATGAACTCCGGCGGAGCAGCTCTATATGTAATAGCTCCCAATTTGAAAGATTTTTGATATAAACGCTTAAAAAAAATATGAGTTACACTTAAATATATGTGAAACATGGTGGAAATGTTTTATACGCTAAAAAACAGCGTTTTAATGTGGTTTCCCCCCTTAAGGGAAATGTATTCTAGAAAATAATAATTAAATTAAGATGATGAAAATAATTTTGATGAAGTAACATAGTAACAATATTCTTATATAATATAAAATAATGATTTTATTACTTGGTTATCTTTAATTTATTATAAAACATGAAGAAATCGATCACTCCGAGTCTTCGACCCGAAGCAATCGATATCTTCATGTTTTATAACAATACTTTTAAAAGTTGTTTAATTTAAAAAAGGTTTGAATTTGAAATTTTTGAATATCTTAATTCCTGTGGAAAATCCTGTTACAAAAATTAGATTAAAAATAGGAATTGTGCAATTATTTTTCTTCTTTTTCTAAAACAAAATAATAATTTTCTTTAAAAAATTGTGATTCAAAAAGAAAATAGTGGAAAATAAATAAATTTTTTATTTTTTAATCACAGTTGTTTAACAATTATTTTCTAATTTTGTTTATAGAAGTAAAGAACAAAAATTTGCATAATTTCAATTTGACAAAACATATTTAACAAAATTTTAGTCTTTTAATGAAAAGAAGTGAAAAATATTTAGTTAAAATATACTTAATTTTTAATAAGTTTTGAAAAAGTTTTTTGAGTATTTTCAAATTCATTTCTTTACAATTAAATTTTATAAAGTTTCAATTATTCGTCAATTCTTCAATTACATATATATTAGAAAATAAAAATTTCAAATAATATAAAAAAAATCCGCAATTAAACATTCTGAAAAAATTAATTCCACAGAATTGTTAGTTAAAAACATAAAAAATTTTGATTTTCAAATATTTTAATTTGAAACCTTTTCAAAATGCAATCATTTCTAAAAATTCACCCTGTAATGCTTTTAAAATTTAATTATTATGTGAAAGTTTTACTAAAATTTATTTTTAAATAAATTTTTATTAAAAAATTCTACTAGAATTAAATTATTTAAATACAAAAAACAATTTATTGAATAATTGCAAGTTTCTTAAAATTGAATTCTCCTAAAGTGCCAATTTTTTTATCAATAAATTTTAAAATGATTCAATTCTTTTGACGAATTTTAATAAAATTTTTAAGAATAATTACATTTTTCGATGAATTTAATTAAAATTTTGTTATTTATGAAAATAATTAAATTCCTAAAAAGAATTTTATTATTTATGAAAACAATTGAATTATTTAAAGAAGAAATCTATAAAAAAAATTTGTAATTAATTGAATTCCTGTGAAATTTTTCTTAATTTATGGAAATAATTAAATGTTTGCATTGAATTTTATTACAAATTTTTAAATAATTGAATTCTTTTGGAAAATTTGATGAAAATAGCAAATATTAAAAATCATTGAATTAAGGAAAATTTTTGAAAATAATTGAAATTTTGTCCAAGAATTTTATTAAAATTTGTGAAAATAATTGAATTTCGAAGAAAAGTTTTATTATTTCTAAAAATAATTGAATTCTTGCAAAGAATTTTATAAACTTTTTGAAACATAATTGAATTTCTGCAAAGAATTTTATTACTTTTGAAAATAATTAAATTTCTACAATCATTTGTAATTTTTCTAAAATTCTCCAAAATGATATCGTACAACTTACGAACTTTTTGTCCTTTTTCTTTCAAATTACCTACGGACTTTAAGGACCGTTCTTTAAAAAAAATGGACTTTTATGGACTTGAAGCAATTTTTACGGACCCTTACGGAATTTACGGACCTATATCTATTTAGTTCGAGCCCTGATTCTATTTTAATCATTTTGAGATAACCTCAAAAAACCCAAAGTTCGACCCCAAAGATTATGAGTTATGAATACATGTGAAAAAGTTTGAGATATTTTTTAAATAGAAATTAAAATTGTTTTCTTGTATTTTTACCTGAAGGTCCTTGAAGACCAATTGGACCTTGTATTGAAATTCCTTTATCCCCTTTTTCTCCTTTCTCACCCCTCTGGCCGTCTAAACCAGGCGATCCAGTAAAACCCTCTAAGCCAGGAGGACCCATTGGTCCTGGTTCGCCCTGTAAACCAGGATTGCCTGAAAAATAAGTTCTCATATTACCCTTCTGTTTTTGTCTCATTACTTGTGCCTAAATACCCTATTTATTGAATTTTGAAGTATATATTTTAAGAAAAATACAGAAATAACGATTCAAATGTATTAAAAGTATAGTAATTTCAAAAAAAGTTTCAGAATTTGTAGCAGCCTTACCACAAACATTTATATAAAATAAGAATGTGGAAACCTTGCGCGTAATATTGGAGAATTCCTCATTTAATATTTCTGGATAATGAATACCTTATATACTTTATATCTTTATAGAGCATAAATGTATTTTTACATTATTCTCTTAGAACTATGTAAAATTTATAAAAGATATTTTGTATATCTTCTGTATTATATATTATAAAATATGTACTTATTACCCACATTATGCGAGTCAGTATATAAAAACATAACATCCACATTAAATGTATCAGAAAAGTCATATTTAATATAAAGACAATCAATATCAAATAATATTGTACATGAGAATTAGAGTGAGACAGAGTTTATTTAATGTTGGGGTCTTAAGAATTGCAAAAGGACAAGTCAAGCCCCCTTAGTTATTATAAGTCTGAAACTCTCTGGCACTGAGAAACAAAGGGTTCATCCCCTTCACTAAATCGAACTTGGCAAGTTTCGCGAACTCTCTAATTTATAAAGAATAGTTAATTTATATATGTGTACATGATATATTCATATATATATGAATAAAAGATTTACAGATTTTTTAAGAAGTTATTGTTTATATCTGCACTTTTTATACTTTTGACTTCAATATTAGAAATCTTTTTATTCCGTTGTTGGTAATATATAATTATCAACCATTTAACAATTTTTTTTGTATATCCTACGAATTTTTTTAGTCCTAAGCTTGACTAATTAAACTGTTATTGTTATTACTGTTAAGAAAATATTTGTCAACAATCCTAAATAAATGGTCGCTCTTTTGAATGGCGTGGTCAGAATTTTCAAAAAATGATATTAAACCCCTTCTTTTTTTAAAAATACTAAAAAAGTCCAGTTTTTTTATGTAATTTTTTTTCTAAACAATTTAGCATCTAAACATACATCAGCATCAACAATAACACTTTCATGAAGTCAAAAAATAACGGCGACGACTGCAGGTTGAGACAAGTTGTGACACGCTGAGACGCGCAGTATGTGAAAATAGTGCCCTTGGACAAATACATTTTGAATCCCCAATTTGTCAATGTCAGTTTAATAATTGGCAAATAAAATAAATAAATAAACAATTGGAAAGTGACATCATTATTCATTTTAACTGAATTTTAAATTATTTAATTATCTAATAATTATTTAAATTATTGTAAACTAATTTTAAATTAATTTCTCTTGGGTCAAAAATCTCATGTTCAAAAAAAAATCAGTAATAAATTTTTTATTTAATTGAAAAAATAGTTTCTTAGGTATTATTTTGGATATTCCTATGAAAAAGCGAACATTTCTAATTATCATAAAAGCAAATTTTGTTAAAATAATGCAAGAAAATGTCCAATGTAATTCTTAATTTTAAGACATAATTTATTAAAGAGGACGAAAAATGAAATCGATTTGTTTTCTTTCTCGAAAAATTAATCAATTTTTAAAATGAAAATTTATTGTCTTTCAGTATTTTTTGAGATTTAAATAAAACTAGCAACATATACCTCACTCGCTAACGCTCGTTCGGTTGTATTTAAACTTATTAGTTCTTACTTATTTTTTTTTTTTTATTTGAACTAAGTAAATATTTACTGGACATAAATATTTTAATTTATGGTATCTATTAAATAGTTATTTGAACCAAATACAAATTACTTAAGTCAATTAAATAGAATAATTTAATTTAATAAATATTGCTTTAAATCAATTATAAAAATTACTTGATTAAATAATGCATAGTTTTTAATTAAAATAAACATTTATTTGCATCAATAAAATAATTTTTTTGAAATAACTAAACTTAGAAGGTTAGATTTTGAATGTTAGCCTGATTCTCTGAATAATTAGTAAGAAAAGAGCGAAGATACGTCCATTCTTTTCTTACTAATAGGATTTTCTGTAGGTAATGATCAGGGTGTTTTTTTGAAATTTTTACTGCACTATTCTTACGCATGTCACCGTCACCAATATTGTTACAATATATATTGTAACAATATTGTTACAACAAAGTCTAGACTTTGGGTTTTTGCAAGTCTAGACAATATAGTTGTATAATAATATAAATTTTTCTTTCTAAACCAGAATTTGAACATTTACAAAATTAAAACCTTATAGTGGTTAGAAAATGTAAAAAATTATTAATATTTATAAAAATATAAATTATTTTATTTAAAATCATTGTGTAATAAGACAAAAATTATGAAGTGACATTTACAAAAAATGTCATTGTACATTATACGAAATGTTATTTTTACGTATTCTCTTACTAAACCTTTCATTTTCGTCCGCTATCCTGGATTCGCCATTTTGTATTTTTAAAAAGTGACTTTGGATTCATAATCAGTGGAATTTTACTGAAAATCAGTTGAAAAGTACTAAAATATCAGTCATTCTTCACTGATTATTATTTTATTGTGATTTATTTATTAATATTGTAAATTTCTGTCAAACAAATAATTTTACTAAAAGTCAGTTGAAAATTACACTTACAGTAGTGTTTCATTCGAGCAACACGATCCGAGAAACGAACAAAAAACGATTTTCTTTTTGTTTTGATAACCAAGCTGTCATGTTCGCTCGTCTTATTGAAGTAAATTTTCATAAATGTTTATTTACATTATTCGAAGATAATTAAATCTTAAAAAATTACTATAAAAAAATTCTAATAATATTAGTTTTTAAAAATATTATAATGTTATTTTTCGAAAATAATTGAATTTCTTAAAATAATTCTTATATCCTAATTTACCTTTAAAAATTTTTTTTTAATTTTTGGTAATTCAATTATTTTCAAAATTTGCAATTAAAATTCTTCAAAAAATTGTAACAAAATACTTGAAATAAATTAATTATTTTCAATTAAATTTTGCACAATTTCAACTATTCAAAAAGGTTTCTATTGTAGACATATTTGAAAAATTTAATTGTGTTAAAAAATTATTCAAAGAAATCTAAGTATACTTATTTTTAATTATCTATAACTTAATCTATTGAATTTAGAAAAATTACATCAAGAGGACAAAACTTTGTTCTTTCGTCTACTTTTGAATAATGTTTAGAAAACTAAATTTTTATTAATGTTTATTAAAAAATTATTTTATACCTAAAAATGTTAAATTTTTTTAATTTAGGCATGATTACAATCACAGGCACACAAAAAAAAAGTTGTCTGTTCATTGAACAAGACCTACATTAGAGTGGTCGTTAATTTGCGAAATTTTGAATTTCTTTCATTCCACCCCCTAATTCGCTTCCAAATGTGATAAAAATGAGCTACGCGAAAGAAGAGCTCATTTAATTAATATTAACCCGTGCCTGTAGAGGGTTAAAGTTTAAATGGGGTTTAACATAGGTTTAGTGCATTTATTCAGACTTTATATTCTAACTTTTGTTTTTATTGATTTTTTTGTTTACAACTCTGCATATTTACAGTTTAGGATGTGCTAAAACCGAATATGTAGCCAAAAATAAGTTTTGACAGGTGACAGCTGTCAAAAATGCTGTCAAACTTTTGACAAGGAGTATTTAAGTATTTTATTTAATTATTTTACATTCATTTAAATAAGTTTAAGTATTTTCTAGACAATTGAGATCAAACTAAGTGGCAACATGTCTTTTTGACAGTTGACAGCTGTCAAAAAATGTCAAACTTACAAAATTTTAGTTTTTTTTAGAAATTTTACCTTTCTTTTTTCAAATAAAATTATTCTTTAGACTACTGAGATCAAACCGAATAACGGAATATCATTTCAACAGATGACAGCTTAAATAATATATGGATTTTTCGAAAATCTGTGTAAAAAATCAAAATTAATAATTTCCCCGACTTCGATCTTTTAAAATTTTTTAAAAGGCTTCTAACATTAAAATAAATAATTAGCAAAGAAAAAATTGTCATTGAATAAACGTAGGTAACTTCAGTTTCATAAAATGTTATTAAAATGCTTTTTAAAATACTGGTTTAATAATTGTGAAAAATTCTAAACTTAACTAAATTTTTAAATTTAAAAAGATTTGCTCCTCATCTTTCTTCGGAGCGTATCTCAAATAACCTTACAAATTTTAACTTAATTTTTTGTTAATAATGAAATTAAAAATTAATAACTTATTTTGTTAACAATTTACTTAAAGGATTTTATACTTTTTGTCGTAATTAGCTAAAAACATACCAAAACAATTTTATTTCTGGTTTGGAATTTTTTAAGAAATGGTCTGGAAAACCTGGAAAAGTCATGGAATTTTAAAATCGATGTCTTGTGGCAACCCTGAAATAAATAAGTAAATACACAAGTAAATAAATAAGTTCCATTACAACACAGACAGCGCAGCATTAGCGAGTGAGGTATTTACGTATATTTAAAAAAATTTCAACAGACACTACGTGCATCAACGAACCTTAAAAAATTCAACAATTTATATTATCAATCGTTTATTAAATCTATACATATATGTGATTTGTGTATATGTAGGAGTTTATATCTGCATATGAGCAGTATACATGTGTATGTAATTTATGAACATGTGTGAGTATACATGTACATGTGATTAGTGTATATGTGTGAGTATACATGTGTGGGTGTTATGCGCGCATGCTTGATATTCATAGAACACTACTGCGCATGCCTGATATTCATAGAACACTACTGCGCATTCCTCACATTGATAGAACACTACTGCGCATGCCTGACATTCATAGAACAATAGTGCGCATGCCTGACATTGATAGAACACTACTGCGCATGCCTGATATTCATAGAACACTACTGCGCATGCCTGATATTTAAAGAACACTACTGCGCATGCGTAATATTGACAGAACACTACTGCGCATGCGTAATATTGACAGAACACTACTGCGCATGCCTAATATTGACAGAACACTACTGCGCATGTGTAATATTGACAGAACACTACTGCGCATGCGTAACATTGACAGAACACTACTGCGCATGTGTGACATTGACAGAACACTACTGCGCATGCGTAACATTGACAGAACACTACTGCGCATGCGTAACATTGACAGAACACTACTGCGCATGCGTAACATTGACAGAACACTACTGCGCATGCGTAACATTGACAGAACACTACTGCGCATGCGTAACATTGACAGAACACTACTGCGCATGCGTGACATTGTGAATATGTATACATTTGTGTTAATATTATTTTTAAAAGATATACATATATATACGGCTAGGGTCGGTCGGTCGGTCGGTCGGTCGGTCGTTCTTCAACTTAATATAATAAGAGATTATAATGAAATTTTTCAAATGTTGAAAGTTGAAACTTATCCTACAAATATTTAGAAATTATTAAAATAATTGTTTATCTCGATCTAATGAGAAGTTTAAATAAATGGAAGAGTTTTAAAAAGTGAATATGGTCAAAAAGACCTAAAGCGTGCTTCGTGTTCAGAATCTTTTCATATTGATAAAGTTTGTAAATTTAGACTAAAATACTTATGAAAAGCATATGCGTCCATAAAGAATTTCATTTGCCTGGAAAGAAAAGAAAAATATTCTCACCTGGTGGTCCAGGGTGACCAGGAGGACCTCGTCTTCTTGGTCGATTTTCCACAAAATTCTGGGATGTTTGCATTAATTCCGTTAATTCTGATATTTTCTCTAAAATGTGCAAAATTAAATGAGGCATAATAAAGAATATTTTCTTTTAAATACATCGAAATTTTAAAAGATTTATTTTCATTATTAATTTTATAAATGTTAAATTGTATTAAAAATTATTTAAAAATGAAATATATTTATCGTTAATGCTTCCTTCACGAGGAAGCAAATTTTTTTGCTGATCGTAAAGAGGAAGCAAAATGTTCATGTAATGAACATCTGGATTTACAACTTGTTTATTATTATATTATTATCTACTAAAACGAGTTTAAAATTTTAACATATATTCTATTTATATACGCTCATTAGGTGATGAAAAAACCCCTTTAAATTTTTTATGAAAAAAAAATAAAAAATAGCGGATATTCAAGACTTTGAATTTTTTGGTACCATTTGTTTAAAAAATCTGTAACTTCTGTTCTAATAATCCGATTAAAATTTAAATCCGATTTAAATTTTCAAAATCGAAAATGATTGATAATATTTTATAATAAATATTATTAGAATTAAGAAAAAAAATTTTTGCATTATTGTTGAAGAATTTGGAAAATAAAAATCGCTATTACGAAAATATGGGGTTTTTAATTTTTTTATTTTTATACCAAATGAAGCCCAAAATATTGTCTTCTATATATAATATATGACCTGTAAGTTTCATTATGGGACCGTAAAAAGATTTGGAGAAAAAATATTAAGTTTAACTCCTACAAAATTATTTTCATCATTTTAATTCAATTATTATTTCCAAGAATTTGTAACTAAAATTCTTCTAAGTAAATTATTTTTATAATTAAAAAGTTCTCGTCATAATTTCAATTATTTTTAGAAATAATAAAATTTTTCTTCGAAATTCAATTACTTTCACAAATTTTAGTAAAATTCTAGGACAAAATATCAATTATTTTCAAAAATTTTCCTTAATTCAATAATGTTTAATATTTGCTATTTTGATCAAATTTTCCAAAAGAATTCAATTATTTAAAAAATTTTTAATAAAATTCAACGCAAACATTTAATTATTTCCATAAAATAATAAGAATTTCACAAGAATTCAATTATTTACAATTTTTTTATAGATTTCTTCCAAATAATTCAATTATTTTTATAAATAATAAAATTCTTTTTAGGAATTTAATTATATTCATAAATAATACAATTTTAATCAAATTCCTTGAAAAATGTATAATTATTCTTAAAAATTTTATTAAAATTCATCAAAAGAATTAAATTATTTAAAAATTTATTGATAAAATTCTTTAGGAGAATTCAATTTTAAGAAACATGCAATTATTCAATAAATTGTTTTTTTGTATTTAAATAATTGAATTCTAGTAGAATTTTCTAATAAAAACTTATTTAAAAATAAATTTTAGTAAAACTTTCACATAATAATTAAATTTTAAAAGCATTACAGGGTGAATTTTTAGAAATAATTGCATTTTGAAAAGGTTTCAAATTAAAATATTTGAAAATCTAAATTTTTTATGTTTTTAACTAACAATTCTGTGGAATTAATTTTTTTCAGAATGTTTAATTGCGAATTTTTTTTATATTATTTGAAATTTTTATTTTCTAATATGTATGTAATTGAAGAATTTACGAATAATTGAAATTTTGTAAAATTTAATTGTAAACAAATGAATTTTTATCGTTATTGAAGTTTCTGGTTAAATACGCTAATATTATTGTATGTTTAATATAAATTTATAAAAATGGGAAATTTTCAAAGTTTATAAATATTCATATTTTTACCTGAAAAAATTCGCAAACAGATGCTTTCAACTAATTCTACGTTCATGAAATTTTCAACTAATCCTGGTGGACCCTGCGGTCCATCTCTCCCCGGGGGGCCAGGAAGTCCACTTTTACCAGCAGCTCCTGGTTGTCCTATGGGTCCTTCCAGTCCTCTTTCTCCCTTCTAAATTGATTTCCATTTTTCTCATACATTAGAACCTTACAATTAATTAATTAAATTTTTCAGTAACTAACTTATTAATATATTAAATAAATTTTTTCTTCCATAATTTTATAATATAATAAATTTCTTATTAATTATTTTTATTACAAATTATTATTATAAAGTACCGGACAACCGGGAAATGACGCAGTGAATTTTTATCTTGACCGGGAATTTTGAAATTTTTTATTAAAAATAATTTTTTTCAAGTCTCTGATTATTTCGCGTTTAAATTCTTTCTATTTCTAACAATAATTGAAATAAAAACAACTTTTTAATACAATTCTTTAAAACAATAATTGCATTGTTTTGAATACAATTTTAATTAAATTCGTTGAAAAAATTTCACATCCGCAATTTAAAAATTTTGTTTGCAATAATATTATCACAAAACTTTTTCTCTAAATTTAAATTAGTTAAAATTTTAACTAATTAGAACAAATGTGATACGAAATTTCTAAAAATTAATTTTTAAATAATAAATAAAAGTTAATAAAAAAATTTTTGTTTTTCTTAGAAAATTAATTTTTAAAAAACCGATTATTACATTTGTTAAGACAATTTAAATTTAAGAATAATTACATTATTCGAGGAATTTAATTAAAATTGTATTATTTATGAAAATAATAATTTTATTTTTTTTTATTATTTTATGTTTTTTAAAATAAAAGAATATAAATTGTTATATTTTTTCTTAACATTACTCGGGGTGATCGATATTGTCAATAACTTTATTATTAAAATAATTAATGTTATTAAACAACATTTTAAATAAAAAAATTATTATATTATTATTTAAAAAATAAATCGTTTTAAAGAGTCATTTTTTTAAAGTATCACTTACCAGACCATAATGAGCGTCCATAGGGAAGGTTTCAAATTTATTATTAACGTCTGTAAATGCTTTTTTCATGCTTTTTTTATTTATGTGAGAATCATCTAAAGAATCGAACGAGTTTTTCTCCAACAAAGTAAATTGTCCGTCCGAGTGACAAAGAGGACAGGGTGGGCCTGGGGGACCAATTGGACCCTTAAAAATAAATTTTTTTGAAAATTAAGAAAAAGAAAAGAAAATCTTAACTCTAACAAAAATTAAATGGACAGAAAAATAAATTTTTCTTTTCTTTTATGGAGGGTGGCAAATTTTATAGTGTCTTTTACCTGAATTCCAATATCCCCTTTGGGTCCTTGTGCTCCTGTAATCCCGAATGGACCCACCGGGCCCTCAGGACCTGGATTACCCTACAAAGGAAGAAAAAAGTTTAATAAACTTTAATAGGGGTTTACATTGGTCAAAATGTCCAGATAATGTATGTTTTTTAATAACTTTTTTCCACAAAATAAATACATTTTTTTATTCGAACACATTGATATCTAAAAGTACACTAAAAATAAGTAATAAGTTATAAAATTTTTGTTGAAAAATATTTAAAAATTATTTTTAAAAATATACACTTTTTGGACGTTTTGACCCATGTAACCTCTTAATATACATAAATATAATTATACATAATCATTGTGGTAACATTGTTAAAAATTTTTAAAAAATTAAAATATAAATTTATTAAAAAAAAATTCCAAAAACTTGTACAAATCTTAATAACTATACCTTTTCTCCTTTTTGTCCTTGAATTCCTGGAGGTCCTTTAAATTCTATAATATTAAATAGGTTTTGAAAATTATTTTTTAAATTATTAAAAAATTAAAAAAATAAATTAAATTATAATAATTAAATATGTAGTAATTAAAATATAATAAACAATTTAATTTATTTATTATACACCGAAAAAAATCTCGATGGTATTATTAACTATGACTCTATAGTTAATCTTAACCTAGTAAAAGTAATAAGGATTCCTAATCATTATGGTTAGGATCGCTAGGTTGATTCAACAAATTCAAGCCTGACAAAAACAACTCTGCAAATCCTAGTCAAATTGACTAGGATTTTAGTAATTTTGCCTCCCTTGCGGATTGAGATCACTGTATTGTCACCGACTAAACGGTGATTTTACGGTGAAAAGTAAATAAAAACTGTAAAACATTAAAAAAAGACAAAGTAAAATAGAAAAATTGAAAGAGGACAATTTATTGAAGAAATTTGTATTAGCACTTTATTAATAAATATTCATTATTAATGTGAAAATAATATTTAAAGTTGAAGTCATCTCCGGTGATATTTTACACTGTCACGGTGATTTGAAAAATACTCGTGTAATTTCACTTTGTTCATACCTAAAAGTGTATAAAATTAACAGCCATTGATATATAGAACACATTTAAAACGAAAAATATCTAATTAACTTTGTAATTATAATAAAAATAAATGAAAAAAGTAAAAAGTTTGCTTTTGGGTGTCATACGAAGAATGAGTAATTTGCTTTGTAGATAATACGTGGTGCACATTTACCATAAGAGCTCGGTCGATAAAATGAAAGTGTTACCATAAAACAAATTTCGACGTTCTTTCCTCCAGTAGATGGCGGAATGAAAGAATTCTAAAATACAAATTTGTATTATTCTGTAAAGTGTTTAATTTAAGTTTTTAATATTGCATTCAAAAGGTAAGTATGATAATATTATTTATGAATAATTCATGACATGGCATTTATTATAAATTCTAAAATAATTAAAAGTAAATTGCATTTGAAACAATTGAATAACATAATTATTCAGTTGAACAATGATAAATAAAATAATTTTTTAACCTAAAATAATTTCACATAATTACAAATTTAAAAAATCAATATTCTTTAAACATTACTCGTTCACAATGAATTTGTTTATTTTCTTATAAAAAAAATTAAAAAGTTATTTATTCATGATGGCGGACTTACTAATTCTTTTATATCGCTCTAAAGTTATGAAAATTAATATTTTTAAGGTTTTTTTCTTAACAATAATAAATTTGTACTTTTTTATCAAAATACTAAACAATTAAAAATTCAAGATGGCGGACTAACTAATTTTTTTATTTTTGCTTTAAAATTATGAAAATTAATATCTTAAAGTATTTTTTCTTACCAATAATAAATTTGTACTTTTTTCATCAACATACTAAACAATTAAAATTTAAGATGGCGGACTAACTAATTTTTTTATTTTTATCATGGTAACAATAATTTACAAATTCTCAGAAAATAATAAATTTATACTTTTTTCATCAAAATGCTAAAAAATTCAAGATGGCGGACTATCTAATTTTTTTAATTTTGCTTTAAAATTATGAAAATTAATATCTTAAAGTATTTTTCCTTGACAATAATAAATTTGTACTTTTTTCATTAACATACAACATACTAAAAAATTAAAAATTCAAGATGGCAGACTAACAAATTTTTTTAAGGACCCTAAAGTTTTTTTTTTATTTAAAAACTTTTCTGCAATAATCTTGTTCAGAGTAGTAAATACAACAAATATCAATCAAAAAATTATCGAAATTTTAATATTGGGGGTAAAAAACAACCCCTTTCCAAATATCACATATATTATACGTAATAATGAAATACAACATATCACTATTAGGCGTTCGAAATTCATTCCAAAATCAACGCCAAAAATTGTCAAAAAATATACCAAACAATTTCCCATAGTTTAGAACCGGCGGTCGAACCCCCAAAAACCACCCCTAATTGAAAACCGATAAAAATAGTATATAAGTGTCCAAAACTGCCAAAAGGCGTGCGAATTTCTTTCTCAAAGTATTTTTAAAAATTCCCCAAAAATATACCAAGCATTTTCCAAAGGTTAGAACACGAGGACCACCCCCCAAAAAAAACCACCCTTAATTAAAAACCGGTAAAAATAGAAAATATGTGTAGTTGCAAGAGTTGAGCTCTTATCGAAATTCTTGAAAAAAGTTTAATCGTTTTGATCATAAAAATATATTAATGAAATGTTTTACTATCGAGAAACAATTTATTTATATGTATTTAATTTTAAAATGTATTAAACTTTTTTTAACTTAAAAACAATAATTGTCAAAGGAAAACACACTTTAATACATTTTTCTTCACTAAAAATAAATCAGATTAAATTTCCTGTTAAGAGAACGGCAATAAATACGTAATAATGCATAAAATACTTTACAGGGTTGCCACGCAACCTGAAAAACCTGAATATGTCAGGGAATTTTATAAACTTTAAAAAAACCTGGAAAAGTCAGGGAATTTTGATCGACATCCTGAAAAATTGTTATTTTTTAAAGTTTATTCTTGAAATCTATTTTTACATAAGTATTTAAAAATTAATTAAATTTTAAAAAAGTTGCGTTTACAATTTTCATAAGTACAGATGTTTTTTAAAAGATTTTAATTTGAAATTTTGTAAAATTTTAATTTTGAATGAATTTAATTAGAAATCGTCTTAAAGAACGTGGATTTTTGAAAAATTTAAATTATTCCAATTCTTCTGAAATTAGTTAAATTATTTAATATATATTTTTAATTGATTATTAAAAATAATGGATTTATAGAAGAATTTTAATTAAAAACACTAAAAAAAATTGAATTTTGAAGTAATTACAAATAATTGAGGGTCCCTATCAAAGAACCGGTTATAAGTTTTTGAGACTCAAAATTCTCGACCTCTAAATAAAAAAGGATTTTAAATTTTAATTTCTTGAAAACAATTTATATTGGTATAAAGATTACCCAAATGTTTCTCAAGAAATTGGGATTAAAAACAGTTTAATTTTTTATTTACAGGGCAATGATTTCGAGCTTAAAAAACTTATAACCGGTTCTTTGATATAGGGACCCTCGATTGCAGAAATTCAATTATTTTCAAAAGTATAGTGAAATTCTTCTGAGAAATTCAATTATTTTCAAAATTTTTAATAAAATTCATGGCAAAATTTCAATTATTTTCAAAAACTTTTATCAATTCAATAATTTTTAACAAATCTACTACTTTAATAAAATTTTTTAAAGGAATTTAATTATTTAAAAATAATTTTAATAAAATTTAATCTTAACATTTCATTATCTTTTTAAATAAGAAAACTCATCGCAGACTTTCAATTATTTTTAATACAATTTTAATAGAATTCCTCGAAAAATGAAATTATTCTTAAAAATTTGATTAAAATTCCTCAAAGAAATTCAGTTATTTTTAAAACCTTTGCTACAATTTATTTATTAGAATTTAAGTATTATTTTCTATAAAGTTTTAATTAAATTTATTCAAAAAATTAAATTACTTTGAAAAATTTTAATGAAATTCTTTGTAATAATTCAATTTTTTTTCAAAATAATTTTAATAAAATTCTTCGTAGAAATTTTAATAATTTCAAAAATTTGTGAAAATTAAATTATTTTCAATGTCTACTATTTCAATAAAATTTCATAAAAGAATTCAATTATTTAAAAAGACATTTTAATAAAATTCGTCTCAAGAGTTTAATTATTTTCAAAAATTAATATAATTCTTCGCAGAAATTTAATTGTGTTCAACAATTTACAAAAATTCTAGTCAAAATTTCAACAATCTTTATAAATTTTTCTCCAAAATTTAATTATTTTCTAAAAATTTTAATAAAATTCTTGGCAAAATTTCAATTATTTTCAAAAACTCTTATAAAATTCTTTGGAGAAATTAAATTATTTTTAATTAAAATTTTAATAAAATTTCCGAAAAATGAACTTATTCTTAAAATTTGTCAAGAGAATTCAATTATTTAAAAATTTGTTTATAAAATTCTTTATGAAAATTTAATTTGAAGGAACATTCAATTATTTAATAAAATATTTATTTTTGTATTTAAATATTTGAATTCTCATGGATTTTTTTTAGTAAATATTGATTTAAAAATGAATTTCAGTTAAAATTTTAGATTATTATTGAATATTGAAAGAAATATTGCGTAAATTTTTAGAAATAATTGAATTTTGAAAAGGTTTCAAATTAAAATCTTGGAAAATTTGAACTTTTCATACTTTTAACTAAAAATTCTGTAGAATTAATTTTTTTAAAAAAGTTTAATTACATTTTTCTTTAATTCTTGAAGTTTTTATTTTCTAATATATATTTAATTGAAGAGTGTCAGAATAATCAAAATTACGTAAAAATTGATATTTAAAATAATTGCATATTTACGAAGAATTTTATCATTTTTGAAAATAATTGAATTCTTGCTGAGAATTTTATCAATTTTGATAATAATTGAATTCTTGCGAAGAATTTTGTCAATTTTAAAAATAATTGAATTATTTCGAAGAATGTTATTCAAATTTTTGAGAATAATTAAATCCTGCGAATAATTTTATTATCTATAAAAATAATTAAATTGTTAACAAGATTTTTAAGGAAATTTAGTATCACTTTTTCTCAAAAAGTTTAATAGAATTTTTTTTAATTATTTGAAGTTTTTAATTTCTTATTTTTTTCATTGAAGAATGTCGCAGAATAATCGAAATTTTAGGTTAAATTGAATTCTAAACAAATGGATTTAAAAATTCCCAAAGAAGAACTTTTTCAAAAATTATTAAAAATAATTGATTTAAAGAAGAATTTGAGTTAAAAATTCTAATAATGAATAATTGAATTGAAATGAAAATAATTTTAAAGAAATTACAGTAATAATATTTTTATAGTATAAAATAATGATAGTATCAAGTTCTAATTATTATAAACCATGAAGAAAGCGATCACTC